CGCAGACATTAAAAAGACATAGATTACTATTTCCCAGTATAGTATTAACTATGTATAAACTTAATCTTACATACAAGCCCTGGGAAAAAGTTCTAAAGGTTTTTTTTAGGGTTTTTTTTTTTTTTTTTGAAACTATTTGTTGAGAGTTCTGGGAAACAGTGATATCTGTTAATGGAAATTGCAACAGTTGTCATTTAGCCCTACACATTGCAGCAGAAATGGGTTTAAAAGTATCACTATGGGCCATGGCCTATAACCTATGTATCCTTGCCCTGTGGAAGCCACTAAACCTTGAGCTCCTGGTGATATACAGCACTGATGAAATATCTTAGTGTCTTGTTTGCATGTGCTGTAGTTTAGCATACTTTTAAGAGATTCACACTCATAAGGCTAATAAGAGGATCTCAAAAGCTATGGAACAAAAGTGGTTATCTTGTCAGTAATTTCAATATTAAAGTTAATTTCCATGAAGATCATAAATGACAAAACTTCTCAAATTACTGTGTAAAAATGAAGCTGGTTAACAGAACTTTGTTCATATACTCACTGAAAACCATCACATTTGCCTTCAAAAAGTTCATAGAGAGACACTATTGTATCACTGAGCTTCACAGAATCATTAGGGTTGGAAAGGATCTCTGGAGATCATGTAGCCCAATATCCCTGCCAAGGCAGGGCCACCTAGAGCACATTACACAGGAACACATCCAGGTGGGTTTTGAATGTCTCCAGAGAGGGTGATTTTGGTGTACTAGTTGCACCTTGTCTAATTGCTAACTGCAAATTAGATCTTCAGTGACAAAACTATTTGGAGAGACCACGGGTTGTGTGGAACCAGCTGAAAACCAGCATAATTTTAAAATCAGCTGAGGGGTAAGCAAATGTAGCTATGTATTACAGTAATTTTAACTAAAAATGGGAAGTAAATTTTTCAGAAAACTAACAATATCTGCTACTCACCTTAGCTACAGTAGACAGTAAAACGTATATTTAAAGAATTTTCAATCCACTGAAAATATAATACAGGCCCATTTTTTTTTATCTCACCCATATCTAGAAGCCCACTGCCTGACTCAGAGAGCTTCTGCTGTTCGTAAGGAGTAAGACACCTAAATTTAGCTGTCTATGCATGAGGTGTCTACATATGAGCTTGTTGTGAGAGTCAGTTACCCAACATAGGCATTTGGTGCCATCATAGTGACCAGTGGTATTCCTTTCCCACCTTTAGCTCCAGACAGACACAGCTCCACTGTCCATTTTATGTTGTATCTGTCAGCCCTGGCAGATTCATCACCAGCTCAGCTGACAGACTGGATTTACTAGACCTCCGCAGCCTACAGTCAAATTTTAGATACTGGTTCACATGTAGACACTCAAATTCAAAACTCCTAATTCTGAACTGAATCCTGTGCTCTGTAAGATAGAGTATAACATTTAGTGACTGTAAACATGTTTTAATAAGGAGCTGATGTGCCCTGAAAGTATCCTCCAGCTTCACACAATTTAAACCAAGACTTCCTATTCAGTAGAATAGTTAATATAACAGATTCGGTTAAATCTAGCCTTAAGTTATTGTTATTAAACCTCTAGTAAACATAAGGATTCCCTTGATAATTTGATACATATTTTATATTGCAATTCATAGACATAATTGACTTTTTGAAAATATTACAATTGCTAGCATTTTATTACATAAAATCAAAATAATTTCTGTATAGCATTTATGTAAAAAGGAAATAAACTACATATTCACTTTTTTATAGAGGCTATTGCCTTCACAGAATCAAAACAACAATGAACCATTTGGTAGACATTCTTGTTTCTGAAAAGTTCAACTGAACCAATGAGAGTGACTTATGCCATATCAATAGTCACTGTTGGAACTGCAGATCAAAGCCCTTCTGCATTACACTTTACCCTTGTGTAATTACACATAAATATTATCCAAAAAATATTAGCTAATAAACTAAGTTCCCCCAATGGGTCCAACTGTCCATCTCAGTTGCCCCTGCAGCTTAGTCAATGTGTGTTACTATTCCCTATCGAATACAAAGGGCTTTGTAAGATGGCATTGGCAACTGGAGATAAAACCAGCTTTGACACAGTTACAGATGTTTTCACTCCCTTTGCTATGTATGCAATATGCCACTACTAAATGAGAGCTTATTTACCATACAGTGATGGAAAGATATAGTTCTCTCTCTTTGTTTCTCAAGCATATTTCCAGTAAGTATTCATGAGTGTCTGCAGTTTCGCATTGTTGCTCTGTTAGAGCCACAGCCATAGGCTTTCAGAGAAAAGTGTTACCTTAACATACACATTTCTAATATTTTGTATCCCTCAATATGATACTTGTTATATATTTATTGATATACTTGTTTAATCAGGGAGCCAACTTACTGTCATCATATTATGTTTAGATATAGTTCTGAATATGTAGTATTCAGAATATATAGTTTATAGTACTACATATAGAATATGTAGTGCTCAGAATCAGTATGAGAATATGAATATGAAATAAAATATTAATTCTCTTGGGGGAACAGACACTGAATGACAGGAATACAGAAATTACTGAAAAACATATATTCAATTCCCTTGGAAACTTGGCCCATTTATTTTCATATATAGTGCAATAAATTTTTAAAGCCCTTTATTGCCTGTGTATTCACTGAGGAACCTAGCATGAAAACAGGCTTATATTCTGCAGTTCTCTAATTAATTTTATGTTGTTTAAATAAATAATTATGTGAAAATCATCTGCTCTTGTTCAAATGTATTATCTGAAAATTATCCACCCGTTCTCTTCCACATCTCTTACCATCTTTTTTCATTATTATTTAATTGAATTTCCATTTTTCAACTCTAAGAATTCCTCACAGGAAACTGAAATAATAGTATTCAGATTGTGTTAATGGTCAAGATATGCTTGGTTGATTATGCTTGGTTCTTCTAAATGTTTCTAGTATCAGGTAGACACAAAGTTTGTACAACATTTCTAAGGATTTGGGGCAAGAAAGGCTATGAAAATCTTATTTCAATTCAATTTCATTGTATATGCCTTTATTGCTTACTGTCAATACAAATCTCACTATTTTATTTAAAACTCCAGATAACAAGGTGATTCCCTAAAGAACTGGTCCCATGCTCAGTGAAGTGGATTTGGATTTAATTGGATCTTGAATGGGATGAATTAGAGGAGTGTGACATACCTCAGCTGGCTTGACTGAACAAAAGGACTGTTTTCTATTTAATAAAAACTGGTGCAAATAACAGATTAAATAATACAGTGTAACTAAATCATTTGAACCAAAGTGTTCTAGACACTATGAAATGGAAGAACAAAAGAAGGATTTTATTTTTGCAAGGATAAATTGCAGCTACTTCAGAGAAGAAAGAGATGTTTCAAAACATGTAGTTTATAAAAAAGTACTAGTATCTTAATTGCAGATCTTATTTTTAAGAGGTAACTTTAAGAAATTAACTTTTCTAGCTGAATATTGGAAAAAAATACTTTAGGAGTCTATATTTTACATTATCACACATTATTCTGAATTACATTCCATTTTTCCAGAATTATTTGGTAGTCCTTCATGTTTGTCTGTGGTTGTTTTCAGTTTCTCTCTTAAGCCTGAGGAAAAGGACATAACTCAAAATAGCTTTAATCCAACCCTATTGCTTGTCTGACTTACTTTTAACAGTGTGAGAAGCACACATCAGGTGGAGATTCAGAATGTGATAGGAATGGTATGGTCACTTGCAGACACCATTATTTATATTTTCAGGCCTCAGAAACACCACTCTGGGGTGTAAAATTCCTTTCTATATGTGTGTATGTCGTGGTTCAAGCCCAGCCGGCAACTTGGAACCACGCAGCCGCTCGCTCACTCCCCCCCTCCCTTCCTTCCTCCCCCTGCTCCCGGAGGGATGGGGAGGAGAATCGAAGGAATGTAACTCCCACGGGTTGAGATAACAGCTCTCCAGTAACTAAGGTATAATACAAACCACTACTGCTACCAATAATAATGATAAGAGGAATAACAAGGGGAGAGGACACAACCGCTCACCACCCGCCGACCGATACCCAGCCCGACCCGAGCAGCGATCTGGGCCTTCCGGGTAACTCCCCCCAGTTTCTATACTGGGCATGACGTGCTGTGGTATGGAATACCCCTTTGGCCAGTTTGGGTCAGGTGTCCTGTCTCTGCTTCCTCCTGGCTTCCCCTCCTCCCTGGCAGAGCATGAGACTGAGAAAAGTCCTTGGTCAGAGTAAACATTACTTAACAACAACTAAAAACATCGGTGTTATCAGCATTGTTCCCAGACTGAAAGTCAAAACCACAGCACTGCACCAGCTACTAAGAAGGAGAAAAAAATGACTGCTGTAGCTGAACCCAGGACAGTGTACTATTGTGTGTGCAATACAATTATGTGTTGCTATTCACCCTTTCAAACAAAAGAGAAGAGTCTGCAAACTACTGTACAGGTAAAAAAATCTCTTGTCCAAGTTCACGATAGTTACATGGTACCACAGTTCGTCATGATACACTGCAATTAAAAGTGAGAGACAAACCTAAATTTCAAAGCCATCCATAATCCTTCCTCCATCAATGTTAACATCTATATAATGTGTGTGTATGTATATATACGTGTGAGTGTGTATTCTACTTAAATTTATAGAAAACAGGAATACAGGTTGTTGAATTGTTTATGGTACTGACATATTTGTTGGTTCACTCTTTTTTTTGTGACCAGTAAGAAATGTGGGTATCTGTCACTAGCTCTTAGATTCTGGCTTGCTCACAAGGGAATAGAAGAAGGGAATTAAAGAATAAACAGAAGGTCTTACAACCACCTGAAACAAGCCACACTGAGCAGCTTACTCAGAATGTAATTTATCTTTATTTTTCCTGAGAGTTTTAAGAAAAGTGACAGGGAACACACGGGACAGAGCACTAGAGAAATTGAACCTCAAAAGGGGAGAAAGTGTTTTATGTTACCTCCTGGTTAGCAGCAGCTAGTTCTTCTTCCAGTGCAGAGACTCTTTCTAAAGAAACCCTCAGTCGTTCCCTTACCTAGAAGAAAAATCAAAATATGTGCAGTAACGTAATTTCTATCAGTCTTTAAAGATTATATAATCTGCCATATGCACTACTGGATGCCCTGCCAGTCCATTTGCAGGCATGTGTGTTGCATCCTTTCATGAGACCATACAGTGTTCTAAACGTTTAAACCTGACCATAGGAAAACTTAACCCACTAAAATAGGTGTCAAACTTGAAGTGCCATACTGCTGTTCCACAGTTTGCCTGTAATTTTATGGATACACAGCAAATGCAAATATTCTAAGACCACACTAGGCATAAAAATAAAATGTTGTTTACAAGCATCTTTTACAAAGAGTAAGAAAAATACATTTGCAGATGTTTTAAGTCCGGTTCATGGAAGATAACTAATCTGTTCATATTAATTGGATTCAACAAATTCATTGCAAAAATAACTTGCAGCATTGCCTTCAGGCACACATACTAGAGATTTTTATATCATCATGCAGTTTGTTTTGGTTTTGCAAAAAGTCATAAACAGGATATACTATCATAAGCAGAAAAGATGTCTGTGTTCATGTCAGTTTCATAGATAACCTGTTCCAAGGATGTGTATGATTTACTCATTATTGGTAATATTGTAATTATGACTAAATATTAATTATTAGCATATTTATTTAATACCTTTAAAGACATATTTACTGTTGTTTGAGTGCTCTGGCTCAGCATCAACTCATGTAGTGATAGACAACCTAAGCTGGCAATGTAGTGACCAGTTTCCTAATATGATCAAAAGCAAATCAGACCTAAGGTGATCTTCACTGCTGGGTGCAGGTGACTCTCTCTCCTGACTATGAAGGGAGCCTATGGCAACTCCTCTCCTAACCTACACAACTTCATTAGGCACCTCCCATTAACCTCACATTACAACCTGGTTCATGAGTCAACACTCAGGATATACATGCATGCTCCTGCAATAATGCAGCAATGCTCTTCCAGCTGATGATCCAAGGATGTTTAAGGCTATTAGCAATGTTTATAGGGAAAGTTAGCATATTCTCTTAGACCAGGAGATGTAGCTGGCAAATGAAGCAAAACAAAAACCTTTTATGTACAATGGAACACAGTACTTCAAGTACATACAATTGTTTACACACCCTTGACAAATACAGGAGATCCCTGAAAATGTTGGATATGTACTAATGGTTCCATATTTTTTCCAGTGATACCTCTTAGTCTAATAAGCATT